TAAGATGAGCCCAAACTCCCTATTGATATGTGTAATCTTACCGGTTGATTAGCTAGGTTGTGATTACATAGCTGATAAACTGTAATGCAAGTGATTTTGTTCTTAATATTGATTCTGGGGTTTCTGCTTAGTGTTGTTGCAGAGACTTCAACAGGTTGTTTGTTAGCTGGGTCGTCACTTGGCAAGAGAGGTAAGAATTCCATTAAGTATACCTCTTTGGGGTTTAACTTCATGTACTATTAACAAATAGGAATCTTAAGTATAAGCTGTTCAAATAGCTGATGCTTTGAGTGTTGCATTTTTAAATGGATGTTGTTTAATAATAAAGGACAGTGGAAATGAGTGGATTTTAAGCATTTACAGTAAATGGAATCTTACACTTTCTACTAAGCTGCTCTGCAGAGTAACAGGATAACAAAATTATTCAACTTACCTTTTATCAGAATAGACTGTTAAGGATCACTGAGTAGAAAATTTTCTGGACTTTAAAAACATAAAGTCTTTGTGATTTACATGTGAAGTTTTTGTTCAACAGTGAATCTAGATGTGTATCTAGATGAAAAGGACCAGAGCAATCTTGGTTTCAAGTAGTTTGAATAAAATGTTTCTCTGAGTGGGGCTACTTTCTTTCCAGTGCTTAAGAAGTATGAACTATATGTCATCTTCAGATGGGAGGGTCTTTTAAGCAGATATTTGAGGCAAAAACATAGAAATAAGGTTTAAAAAGTTGATATATTCTTGCTTTTTTTTTCCCCTTCTGTATTTTAAAAATGATAAATAATGATTGGCAGCATCCTAATCTCCTGGATTTGCCTGTTAGGAAAGAATTCTGACAAGGTTGGCATTGAAGCAGCCGAGATGCTGCTTAGGAATCTTAAACATGGTGGAACTGTGGATGATTCTCTGCAAGATCAAGTAAGGCTCCTGTGTGTGTGTTTGCATGAAGTTGTAGTAGCAAGAACATGTCTGTATTACTTGTAAAGAATATAAATCTGAACAGAGAAAGAATGAAATGTGGATTCTATCTCTAATAGAAATAGAAATGTGGACTCTATCTCTAATTATCATTGTTTGATAATTAGAAGTTTTAGGAGGTTTCCAGGTGTGGTCACAACATCACTGGGATTAGCAAATAACATACAGTTCTTAGGAACCACAGGTGCACCTGGCTTTGCACCAACACCCTTGAATTTTCCTTTCTTGTAACTCTTCCTAGGTATGGAAGAAAGAGGTAGGAATTTCCTTTTATTTGTCATTCCTTGTAGGAGGGTTAAAAATAGCTCCTGGTTACACATGAAGAATGATACTAAGTGCAGCTATTAGAGAACAGAATGTCTAGGAGGTGCTCCTGTTTGTCTTGCTCACCTAACTTCATTTGGGAACTAAGAACCTGCACTTCCTTATTTTCAACAGCACAGCCTGATGAGAATCGGGCTGCTCTAGGTTGGGTGACATTACCTCTCAGCTGTAAACACCTGGATGCAAGTTACTGTTGTGTAGTATGATAGGAAGCATTTAGGTCTTGGCCCCATCCTGCTTTTCCCAAAGTATGCGCAGTACAATTGGTAGAAACATGCTACAACTAAAATCAATACATATGGGAGCTGCTCAGGGTTTATAACTCATACTTTACCAAGTCCTTGTCATGGTGCTGCTTGTAAATCAAGTATCTTTTAAATAGCTGTCTGGTGAATGTGTGACCAGAAAGTGCTAGAATTCAAAAACCTTTTCGTGAGCTTTTCTCTCCACAAAGGTAAGCTCCAATCTGGAGTCTGGGTGCAGGAGGGTAGGGGAGAGCAAAGTTGAATGTAGTGATGGGAGTTCAGTGGCAAACTCCACTGTGGAAAATTAGCAGCCCTTCTGTAATAAGCATTGCAGTTACCACTTCCAAGCTTCTTGAGCCTTAAATCACTCAACACTCAGCATCAAGATGACCTTCCATGAAACTTGGCAGAGCACATTTCTACATCTACAGACTTTTCCTTTTTTTTTAAATCAGTAAGTTCCTATGATCGGAAGAGTTACTTAATAATTACCTTTCCCTCCCTTTCAGCTGATCATTTTTATGGCACTAGCAAAAGGGGTGTCCAGAGTGAAAAGTGGACCAATTACACTTCATACTCAGACGGCCATACACTTTGCAGAGCAGCTGACAAAGGTGAGTCCAAAAGTTTGGGAAGTTTTACCTATTGGGTATCTTCAAGTAACAAGGCAATGCAGTTCAGCAGGCATTGTGAACTGAACTTGATTACAGAATCATAGAATCAATGGTTTGGGTTGGAAAGGAGCTTAAGCTCATCCAGTTCCAATCCCCTGCCACAGGCAGGGACACCTTCCACTAGAGCAGGTTGCTCCAAGCCCTGTCCAACCTGGCCTTAAACACTGCCAGGGATGGGGCAGCCATAGCTTCTCTGGGCACCCTGTGCCAGCACCTCAGCACCTTCACAGGGAAGAGCTTCTGCCTTAGATCTAACCTGAGCTTCCCCTGGTTCAGTGTGAACCCATCACCCCTTGTCCTATTGCTACAGTCCCTGATGAAGAGTCCCTCTCCAGCATCCTTGGAGCCCCCTTCAGACACTGGAAGCTGCTCTGAGGTCTCCACACAGCTTCTCTTCTCCAGGCTGAACAGCCTCAGTGTTCTCAGCCTGTCTGTACAGGAGTGCTCCAGCCCCTGATCATCCTCGTGGCCTCCTCTGGACCTGCTCCAACAGCTCCATGTCCTTTGTATGTTGACACCAGCACTGCAGACAGTGCTGCAAGTGGGGTCTCATGAGAGCAGAGGGGCAGGATCCCCTCCCTCGACTGCTGCTCACACTCCTATTGATGGAGCCCAGCACACGGGGGCTTTCTGGGCTGCAAGCGCACACTGCCGGCTCATGTTTATTTTCTCATCCACCAGCACCCCCAAGTCTTTCTCCGCAGGGCTGCTCTGAATCTCTTCTCTGCCCAACCTGCAGCTGTGCCTGGGATTGCTCCGACCCAGGTGTAGGACCTTGCACTTGGCATGGTAAAACTCCATGAGGTTGGCATTGGCCACCTCTCCAGCGTGTCCAGGTCCCTCTGGATCCCAGCCCTTCCCTCCAGCGTGTTGACCGCACCACACAGCTTGGTGCCATCACAGACTTCCTGAGGGCACCTCAATCCCACTGTCCATGTCACTGACAAAGATGTTGAACAAGAATGGTCTTTTCTCCAAGTCCAGGGTAGCCAAGTCTCTTGTGGGCCCACTCCAGAAGGAAACACTATCCCTAGTCTCTCTTTTGTTGGCAATATGCCTATAGAAGCCCTTCCCTGACATTCTCTGATATCTCTGGTCAGATTTAATTCTATCTTCCTGACCCGATACCTAGCTTTCTGGACAATGTATTCCTCCCACGCCAGCTGTCCTCTCTTCCATCTCTTGTAAGCGTCTTGTTTTCCTTTGAGTTTGGTCAGCAGCTCCTTATCCATCCACGGAGGCCTCCTGGCCTTCCTGTCCCATTTCCTTCTTGTCAGGACATGATGTTCCTGAGCTTGTAGCAGGTGATCCTTGAATATCAACCAAGAGTCTTGGGCCCCCCTGCCCTCTAGGGCTATATCCCATGGAACCTTACTAAGCAGGTTCCTGAAGAAGCCAAAGTCTGCTCTGTTGAAGTCCAGGGCAGTGAGCTTGCTGCACGCTCTTCTCACTGTCCTGAGGATCTCAAATTCGACCATCTCATGATTGCTGCAACAAAGGCTGCCCTGGAGCATCACATTTCCAGTGAGCCCTTCCCTGTTGGTGAGCACGAGCTCAAGCATGGCACCTCTCCTTGTAGGTTCCTCTGTTACTTGCAGAAGGAAGTTGTCTTCCATACAATCAAGGAACCTCCTGGATTGCTTGTGCCGGGCCGTACTGTCGCTCCAACAGATATCAGGGTGGTTTAAGTCCCCCATGAGAACAAGGGCCTGCAATTGCAAGGCTGCTCCTAAGTGTCTGTATCTGATTGGGTGCCCTGTAGCAGACCCCTACAGTGACATACACTCCTGCTGCTCTTCCTTTAATCCTGACCCACAAGCTCTTGGTTGGTCCATCATCCATTGACAGGCAGAATTCCATACACTCTAGCTGCTCATTGACATAAAAGGCTACACCCTCTCCATCCCCTCCATGATATACGCCAAGGATGATAAAATAATTCCTACAATGTTTATATGGGGGTTTACCTGTAGAAAGTGAATCTACTTTATAGTTAAATGCATTTAGCTTGGCTAGATGACTTTCACCACCTTTATTGAAGTGTTTTTTAATGAGATCAGTCAAAGCTGTAATAGACATAAACACCTGGCAATACATTTATTTGGCATCAGACACTGAATATTTAACCTTATGTCTGTTAACTTCAGTAGTGGTCTATTTCTAATCCTTTTCTAGGCCAAATTTACTGTGACAAAATCAGAAGAGGACGATCCCAATAAAGATACCTACATCATCGAGTGCCAAGGAATGGGAATGATAAACCCAAACTTATAGGGATTAAAAATAATAACATAAAAAAGGCAGCAAGGCGACAACAGCCAAACTCAACATACCTCAGCGATGTATTGCGCTACACGGCAATGGATGTATAGATGCGTGTGAACAGGAGGAGCCTTCTGTCACATCTGAGCAGGTTAACCTCAAGGCTGATGTGGGTTTTTTTTTCCTTGGAGTGCTGAGACGCTGGTGTGAAAAATGGAAACTTGACTTGGTTTTGTTTCTTTTCTACTAGTAGGAGCACAATGAGCCCAGGGAGGACAGCACTGACAATGCACTGTGTGTATGTGAGAGCTGCAGGGAGAGCTTTGAGAATTCAGATTCACCCAAAGAAAGTAACTGTGTAAGAGTTTTGGAAAAATACTGATATGTTCTTTCCCCTTAAAAAAAAACCAGAGTAAGTTTTCTTCTTTGGGAGCCTTGCTGTTATGAGGCACATGGAATGAAGTGCGCCATCAGATCTGTTCCGCTGTTCTTCCTTAACCATTTTGCTTACCTTGTGTGTGAGGAAATAATAAAGCAGTAGCACCGCATGGAAGCCTCGTGTTTGTATTTGCTGTTGTCTCAGCAGGTTCTGTCACTGGGAGACAGATACAGAGTCACTTTTCAGAAGCTTAATTTCTCTCTCTACAGAAAGAACATGCATAATAGAAGATGCATGAAATAACCTTTTAAATCTCCTCTTTTCATCTATTTTAAAAAGCCTTCTCAGACCAGCTAAACCCATGTCCCATGTTACACCCCAAACACAAAATAGTAACTCATATGGCTGGATTTTCTCCCTACAGGTGTCCTTGTCAGTGAAATAACCAGGTCTGTGTTTTCACCAAGATGTTGTTTGTTCTTTTTAAGGAGTGTACTTAACTCCAGCTGAGATTAGGGAGCTGTTCAACACACATGTACACCTGTGTACACTAAACATTGCATATGCAGGTGTTTAGGTGTGTAAAATCCAGTTGTGTTGTCCCTCGTCTGTAGATTAAGGAAAACCTTGGGCCAGTCTGGCCTTGATTGTGGTACAAAAGCTTGTTTGTTTTGTATGTGAAGAACTGAATCACAGCACTGGATTCACTTAACCAAACTCTGCACTCTGGAAGCTTGAATTAATTCCCAGGTTTTCCACAGCCTTTGCTCTAAGATCTTTTTTCCTCAGTTCTGGCTATTGAACCTGACAGCTAAAGAAGTAACTTGAAGTAGCATTTATCTCGCTTATTAAGATCATTGTGTTACTGAGCATTTCTAACACAAAAACATCCTTTGCTGCTATACAGAAACTTCCACCAACTATCTGCTGAACTATCTTTAGGGTTCTTCCCCTCTTCCCACCTGAAAACTAGTGCAAAAGAATGGAACGCTGTTAATTTCTGACTAGTAGTTCTTTTTATCTAGTAGAATTATAGAAAGCCCTTTAAGATCATCCAGCCCAACCGCTCCCAGTACTGCCAAGGCCACCACTAACCCATGGCACTGAGGGGCTTGTTTCCACGGTGTGTGAACACTTGCAGGGAGAGTGACTGCAGCACTGCCCTGGGCAGCATGTTCCAATGCGTGATCATACCGGGAACGGTCTGAAGGGAGCAGCAGACACCCGTTGATGGATGTGAACCCCACATTTGAGGGCAGTTGAAGAGTACCTCTAGGAATTAGCAGCCTGTGCTGCTAATGATGGTCAGCGTTTCCTTCTGGAAGATCCCTGAATGTATTTTTTTTAAGAACTTCAAAGAGAGCTCCCAAAAGGCTGGTTTCTGTGCTTAAAAAAAAAACAAGCTATTTTTCACCACAGCTGGATGGATCTTTACCAGTTTCCACAATTAAAACGTTCATGTACTTGACTAATTTAACTTCTAATGGAGGGATCCCTGCTGAAGGGGTGGTGGGATGTAACTTCATCCCACCTCCTGCTCAAAGCATCACTAACTGGGTGCAATCCACCAGCTCTTCAGAAGAAAACATGACAGGAAAAAATGAGATAATCACTTCTACCTGACTCAGATTGCTGGTATGTAGAAACCACTCTGCTGCCGCACACACTTCTTGCCCTGTAACCACTGCTTCACTTCAGCAATCAAACAAGAATGACCCACTTTCTTGCCTAATAGAGTCACTGTGGGCTGTAAGCACACTTAGATGGTTTAAAGACGACATAAACTGGCATCACTTGCTCCTGTCCTGTTAAGAAAACCTTATGAATAAAGGTTTGAATTATGTTAGATTAACAAAGGTTATGAATTTGATTTAGCACAGCTAAATCAAATCTTTTCCATTTAGGCAGACTTTGTGCACATACTGCATTATGTATGAAAGGTAGGATCAGTTTGAGCCCGACCTTGTATCTGGCCTCAAAGGCTGGCTGGAGTTTTCTTTGCTTCTGAAAAGCTGTGCCAGTTTGCACACCTGAGACACTGTCTGCAGGGCTAAAGAATTTCATCCCACAAATCACTTTATCAGAGAGTCAGCTGGGTTGCAAAAGACCTTTAAGATCATCAAGTCCGATCTTTCCCTGTCTCAGAACAATTGCAGCAAGAAAAAAAAGAACTAGCAAAACCTTGGGAGAACTCTCTCACATCAGGAATCCTGCCTCTAACCAACACTTCCTGAAAAATCCCTTTGGGAAATAACTTAAAAATGCGCAGGTTTTGTTTCTAAGGCAAATGAGAACAAACAAATCCAACCAACTCTCAGCTGAGCAAAAGATCCCCATGGAAAAGGTGAGACCTTCCAAACAGCCACGCAAAAGCATACATACAGTCCCTGCTATACATGCACATGTGTGTGCGCACCCAAGTTTTATTACCCAGATCCAGTTCACATCCTGTCACCTCATGGTGTCCTCTTACCAGGAAGCACTTATCATAATTCCTGTTCTTTTTTCTGTAGAAAGTGAGTAATTCCTCTTTGTTCCATACATACTTGACTAAATTGTAACTGAGGTAATAAAATTCATGGCATGAGTTGAGGACTCCTAGCATCATTCATATCCTGCCAAGGTGCTATTCCCCCTTTTCAACAGGGTTCTGCCCCGTAACATTGAAATCCTTTGCCTTTACATTTACTTTCAATTCACTTCAATTTAAATCTCCAAGTCAAAACAGGAGCTGCAGGTCCTGTCACATCACACTCCTGCATTGTACCTGCTATATGTACTTCAGCTTTAGTTTTACAGCACAGTTCTTAAAACAAATGCATGTGTGCAAATTGGTTGTTGGTAGGGAGTGATGCAGCTTTTCTCTTTGTAAACTTCCTACCCTTTTGGAATATGAACTAATAATTACACTGCATTCCTTGAACCTTTTTATCTTTCATTTATATCCCTTTACAATCATATAATAAGTAGCAAAAAGGTTGGATTAAGTCACTTTGTGGGAATGTATTAAACTTTTGTTCAGGAAGAGATGAGACACTGCTTGTACCTGCTCCACAAATATGCACTGGGTTTTCTTATGTTAATCAGGCACATTTGAATCTTATATAAAAACTCCAGTGTGGGTGTATAGATACAACTAAGATGCTTACATTTAATACTGCTCAAACAAGTAGTGGCAATGACTCACAAGTTCTATATGCCAAGGAAATGGGATTAATCCTCTCAACCTGTGCGTCTCTAGTGTGCTTCCATGAGCCAGTTGTTTTTGGATGAATGTGATGGTCAGAGAAAAGCACTCCACTGAGATTTGTGGGTACTGAAGTCTCAAGACACATAACTAGATGATCTTAAGGTCCTTTCCAACCCTAACCATTCTATGATTCTATGCATAAGTGCATTATCTGCAGACAGTTACAAAAGGTTCTGACAGAACTCTGTTACTCTCAGACAGAGTTTCTTTGAACCTTTTTACGTCTCATGCCCTTAAATCTGTGTCAGCTGGTAACTGTTCCTCTTCTGAGCCTATGCATCTCATTCTGGTCACTTAATTACTAGTAAAACATTTACAGTTCTCTAGACCATGCTGAAATACTGCACCTTTTTTTGGGCCTATCCACACAAGAAACACACCATTGGTTGAGGTGATGTGAAGCAGGATCCATGGGAGGACAGACTGAGGGAAAGGGCCCTGCTCACGCTGGGGAGAGGATCAAGAATCACAGAATCCCAGACTGGTTTGGGTTGGAAAGGACCTTAAAGTTCATCCAGTTCCAGCTCCCTGTCATGGGCAGGGACACCTTCCACTGGAGCAGGCTGCTCCAAGCCCCTGTGTCCAACCTGGCCTTGAACACTGCCAGGGATGGGGCAGCCACAGCTTCTCTGGGCACTCTGTGCCAGTGCCTCAGCGCTCTCACAGGGAAGAGCTTCTGCCTTAGATCTAACCTGAATGTCCTCTGTTTCAGTGTGAACCCCTCACCCCTTGTCCTATCGCTGCAGTCTCCAATGAAGAGTCCCTCTCCAGCATCCCTGTACCTCCCTTCAGACATTGGAAGCTGCTCTGAGGTCTCCATGCAGCTTCTCTTCTCCAGGCTGAACAGCCCCAATGTTCTCAGCCTGTCTCTGTACAGGAGTGCTCCAGCCCCTCATCATCCTTGTGGCCTCCTTTGGACTTGCTCCAAAAGCTCGATGTCCTTCTTATTTTGGGGACACCAGCACTGCAGACAGTGCTGCAAGTGGGGTCTCATGAGAGCAGAGTAGAGCGGCAGGATCCTCTCCTTCGACCTGCTGGTCATGCTTACAGGACCAACCAGGCTGGAAAAGCCCTTTAAGCTCATCCAACCCAACTCTTACCCCAGCCCTGCCAAGGCCACCACTAACCCATGGCACTGAGGCCTCATCTCCACGGTGTGTGAATACTTGCAGGGATGGTGACTCCAGCCCTGCCCTGGGCAGCCTGTTCCAATGCCTGAGCACCCTCTGGGGAAGGAATTGTTCCTCAGCTCCATCTAAACCTGCCCTGGTGCAGCTTGAGGCTGCTTCCTCTTGGGATGGATGTGATAAGCATCTGCAAGGATGTTTTGGAGGAGACGGAGCCAGGCCCTTTATGATGGTGCACGCCAGGAGGGTGAGAGCCACTGGGGGGAAACTGAAACAAGGGATGCTCAGGGTGGACAAAGCCCTGACCAACCTCAGCTGAGCTCCTGGCCGACCCTGCATTGAGCAGGAGCTCGGACATGAGCCCTCCTGCACTCCCTTCCCACCTCAGCATGATCCTCAGTGCCCTATCTGGAAGTGGTGATCATCGAACACAGTGAGGAAGAGTTCCCTAAAGTACAGGTTATATATAACTGTCTCTGTTACAATGAGCCATATGTTAAATAAAGCACTATAGGCGGAAAAATGCCAAATTAAATTCTTTACAATGGAAACAAGAGAGATTTTGTTTTGGAATTAGAGCTACATCTTCCTGAATTAAAAAGAAGTGAATGCAAACACAGAGATTTGATCTGTTGGTGACTGGAGAGACTAGGAAGCAATACCAGTATCTAAAAATCAAGTAAGATAGATCAACTAGAAGGTGTTTCCCTAAGGTTTCACTGCAGAGAAGTCTGCAAAGCCTGAGGTAAACAGAGGGGGCACACAGCCCTGTGTCATTTTAGGCAGAATTTTACCTTTAATCCCAGATTTACTAGTGCATTGAAGACCAAAGTTCAAGGCTTAGGAAACTTACTGATAAGTCCACTTAAAAGCTGAAAGCTCTTCTAGAGTACACACATGGAGAAGCTCACACTACAAACCGTGTGATTTTGTATCACCCAGCTGCCCAGGAGGCTTTCTGCCCAAGGCTTTCTGCCCAAGGCTTTCTGAATCCAAAGCATTTGGAATCCATCAATGATATGATATGTGCTAGAACAAAGAACTCTGCTTTGAAAACCCCACTTTCAAATGAGGACTGTTACAATGCATCTATTGCATCTTAATACGCATCTTTGCCTTCATGTACATGAGTTTTCAGGAGGAAATGTCAGACCAGTTTTCTGCCATACCATGGACGTCTTCACAGGCCCATTAAAAGAACAAATCAAACTCGCTCAGAAAACATTTGGAATTATTTCTTTTTCTCTCTTTCCAAATACATTTGTCTCTGTTTAGAATGAAGACTTCCATTACCAGATAGGTCTTCTTTGGAATGAAGACTTCCATTACTAGGTAACTGATTTCTGTGTAAAAAGACAACTTGTGAAAGGGTTTAATGATTTTTCCACATGGAGACCCCTGTATAAACAGAGAATTTTACAAGCACTGAACTGTTCTAGTTTATACAACTCCAGCTGACCCAAAGCTTATGCAGCTCTGGTCACCCAGGAATGTGCCAGTAGAGTGGATGTTTTCTCAGCCCAAACAAATTCAGGCTTATTTTAATTGTGGACTTTCCTATACTGGTATTACATCCCATTACAAACACAGAAAAGTGACTAATAAAGCATCCAAGCATTCCCTTGTCATCAGAATGGGGTCTTATATAAAAAGGCTGTGCAGACATGTTCCAGTGTACTCTATTTTAGAAACAGTGCTCAAGGATTTGCTGTTCTAAGAGCAAACCTTTGCTTATAACACGATGAAACCATGACTAAAGGAATTTACACTTAAATAACTGAAGATGGAATTTGGGCTATATCCATAAGTGAAAAAGATGATCACATTACAGCATTTGGCAAAGAAAGGAGGGGAGAGTGAACAGCATTTCCATCACTTTTATTCTACCGTCATCCTCCCAAACAGGCTGCCCAGAGAGGTTGTGGAGTCTCCTTCTCTGGAGACATTCAAAACCCGCCTGGACATGTTCCTGTGTAACCTTATCTAGGTGTTCCTGCTCCGGCAGGGGGATTGGACTAGATGATCTTTTGAGGTCCCTTCCAATCTCTAACATACTGTGAAACTTAGCCACAGACTACTCTGATTTTGTATTATATTTTCCTGTGAGTACTCCACAGCAACTAAATGATGCTCACTCCCAGCTATGCAAAATCACCAATTGTATTGCCTATCAGCTAAGTTAGTCCTCTCTTTCATAGTTTTTCCCTGTCTCTCTGATCAATAATAGGTTAAAAGCTAGGGCCTCTATCATTACATTTTAATATGTGTGTGTAAAGAAAGCTTCTGAATTTGTAGCAATGAAATCCACAGAATATCCAGGTCAGTCAAAGGAGTTGCTCTGAAGCAGTACTGGAAGGCACTGGCTCCAACTGAGCAGGAAATACCAGCACGTGCTGACAAACCCGAGATAGCTTCAGTGGGCTCAACTTCGGGAATGAGGAGAAGCACATGGCCCCTGATGTTGAAGTGACTTGGTGGGGATGTAGGAATCTCTTATCAGAACAAGAGTGCAAGCATTCTCTTCTACGTGGGAGAGTTCATTTTCATAACTGAATTATCAGATGTAGAACTGTAAAGGAAGACTGCAAGCTAAACTGAACTGCAGGAGCTCACCATTACATCCCATAAAACTCAGCAAATCTTGGGCCTTCTAGCTGTCCAAGCCTTTCATCTTTTTATTACTCCCCACATCAGAGCTCTGCAACTCTTCTACCTGCAGCTCCTCAGCTTTACGAGTGATTGTACTATACACAGTTGACTTCTCAGCTGAAACATTCTTAATAGTACCATTAATGTGGGGTTTGGGTGGGTTGGTTGCAGGAGGTTTTGGTTTGGGTTGGGTTTTTTTTCTCTTTCCATTCCAAAATGTACAAGTCTCTGGTCTCAAAAGGTTTTGCAAATAACTTGGGTCCTTATTTTGTTTTTCTCTGGTTTTAAGTGCTAAAAAAGGACCAATTTAATAAAAAAAAAAAAAAAAACAACAAAAAATCAGTCTAAGCTGCTGCTTTTTTTGGAGTGTGGTGAAAAGAACCTAAGAATCTATGCAGCTGATGGATGAAAACATTCCCATGGGATTTCCTTCACCTCCAGAATTCCAACTGCAGCACCATTTTCAAACTGCATGGGAGCAAAATTTTAAAAGCAAAAATTTAAAATATTTTTAAAAATAAATTTTTTAGAATCACTTTTAAAATCACTCACAAGTTTCTGTCTGTCAACAGAACAGGGCCTGCTCCCAGGTAAAGAACACTTCCATGCTGCTACAGAGCCTTACTGCCAGAAATGGGTATTCATGCTCCCACAGAAGGTGACAGTGCTGACGGGTGCTCAGCTCCTCTGAAGATGAGCCCATATTTCAGTTTTCTTTGCTGTCTTTTTTTAAGCAGGTGTAAAATCTGCACAGCTGAAGACAGATTTGATTAGTAAGAATTAAGCAGAATGTTTAGAATGGGTTAAGGTAGCACAAAAAGCCATATACTCCATAGAAATGGTTTCTATATTAACCCTTTGCACTTGCAGAAGGGAATTAAGGTAACTGGATCAATGATAACCACTGTCGGAGAGAAAAGGTCAATGTGATGTTGAACTAACTTGCTTTTCACAGATTTTGGTCAGTCAGCATAAATAGTTTTGGAACTGTACTTTTAGCTAGATGTTTGCTTCCGTCCCAGGAGATGGTGACCTCCAGGACCACAAGATTTATGTCCTTTGACTGCAAGCCAGATTCCTGTATCCTGTTTATTATTTATACATGTTCTCTGTCAAATAAGCACAATTCAAATGCTTTGCTACTCAATCAAGAGTCAAGCCCAAGCATTTAGACAGGGTTCAGGGATGTGTTTTATCCAATGATTATTTAATACCCCTGAAACAGAAGCAATAAAAGCTTGCTCCCTATGAACACCCCAGCCACTCCGGTTATCACTCAGGAGAAGAGCAAATTGGATAGCTAGTGAGTGCTGCAATTCAAAGGGAAAAATATGTAAATCCTTTCTGGCAAAGGAACCCCTTACTTCCTGGGTGATGCTTTAACTCACACTTTGTGAAAAGAAGGAACCCTACCACCTCTTGTCGTTGTGACTCCTGCTGTCTTTCTGATGAGCAGGTTGCTGTCTCACACTACAAATGGACAGAGACATCTCTGCAGGAAGAGCTGGGGTTTGAACATACCCATGTCCCACTTAGGTCTCAACAACAATCACCAAGCACCAAGTTCCATGCTCCACTCCTCACAGGCTGCACAGGGTGCCGGGGACAAACCCAGGCTTCCCAGTATCCAGCAGTGTGAGTCTCGGAGCCACCGCAACCCAACCACGTTTCCTTAAAGCTGCTTCTCCCACCACATGACTGCATGAAATTCAAGTTTCCAGTAAGGCACAGGCAGCCTGTTTCTGGGAGCCATGATTCCCTGTACTCGCCAAGACTGTGGGTAAGAAAAACGAGGTCAAAATCCAGCAAATGTAAGGAAAACTCAGCAAAACCTGCATCATTTTCCACACGATCTCATGACATATTGCAGGATCCTTGGCAGGTTTAAATTGCAGAGTCTCACCTTCTTGATCTAAGCCTTTCTTTTGCCTTCTTTCTCATTCTCTCTCCCTAGTCACTATCTGCTTGCTTTGTATCACTAGCTTAATGTGTATCTCTGAAGACGCGAGCAAACCACTTTGTGCACTGCATCTCATTCTCAGTATCTCCAGCTCGCAGCCTCAGCTGCAGTGGAACCAAGTCCTTTTGACAAATAGGATCAAATAAAAAAACCAAAATGTCTTTTTTGCTTCTTGTTTTACTTCCTTTTTTGCTTCTATTTTTGTTTTCCATGCTCCATTTTAACTGACTTTCCTGTGTATGTGTGTTTCTGTACCTTTCCTCCAAGTTTACATTTATTTCCCTTCTCCTCCCTCCACTCACATTCACATCTACTTACAGAAGCGTTACGATAACACAGGATTGTTAAATTCCAGGATTAGAAGTAGAGTCTGGCTCCAGCTAACCTTGGTCATTGCAAACCCAGTTTACTTCCTGTAATCTGCAATTGGAGATGCAGAAAGCATTCAAGGACATCTCTGCAGCCCCTCCTGCGGGTTAACTGGGCAGAGGCTCAGTTCCCATGAATGCAAAACTAACCTCTGCTTGCAGAGACAGCTACAGGAAATGGTGCTTAATGATACCATATGGAAAATAAGGAATACCAAAGTGTGGGATTCATCTTATTTCTGCATGAATAGAGGAGAGAGACAGCCTCCTGCAGAGTTTGCTGGGGTTTTTGCATCAAACAATTTGTTCTTCAAAACACATGAAAATGAAGCAAATTAAGCCTCTGCTCTTGTGAGACCCCACTTGCAGCACTGTGTGTAGTTCTGGTGCCTGTGGCAGGGGGTTGGAACTGATGATCTTAAGGTCCCTTCCAACACAAACCAATCTGTGATCCTATGATCTCATGCTGTAGCTGTGCTTGAGTTTATGCTCAAGATCCTGGAGCCAGCTGCACCCACAGAGCCTAGAGGGGTAGGACTTTCACATGAACCCAGCCATCCCCATGCCTGAGTCACTCCTCCTGGAGGGCCCTTGGCTCAGACAGCTTAGACAAAGTGAGATTTAATGTGTAGGCAGGAGTTCTGGCTGAAGCAAGCTAAATAATAAAGTCTAGATGACTACGTAGTCAAAACAAAACAAAACCCAGCAAAATCAGATCCCCATTGTATATGTGGAGATCATAGAATCAGAATGATTAGGGTTGGAAAGGTCCTTAAGAGCATCTAGTTCCAACCCCTAAAAGATTTGTGAAGGCTTGCAATTACCTCCCAGTCCTTAGCAAAATAACAAGTTACTGGCCCATAGGCAATAGACATCTTTGAAAGAAGGATGTTTTTCCTTTAGTTGTTCTTGTCTAGGTGACAGTTTTGTTCACAGTATGCCTGAGACTAAACTGCTGGGAAGCTGTGATTTGCATGAGATTCCTGAGGTTTCCCAACTTCATCGGGGAAAATACTCAAGGTTGGCTTTTATCGCATCAATGTAAGGCTGACCTTCAATTAAACCAAGATATGCAGGCTCCACAGAAAGCCAGGGAAAACATTCAAACAACCAGAAACAGATTAAAGGAAACTTGATCAAACTTTAGAGAGTTTCTTTCCCAGCATTTTACTCCTACAAGTTTTATCTACCCTGTGCTCAAACTACCACCATATGAGGAAGAGCACTCTCCTGCCCCAGCGTCTTTCTCCTAGTACTTACAAAGTGATCTACACCAATTAAGCTTCACTTTATGCCTGTAAGGTAAAACTTGCACAAGTGAAATCAATTGCTGCAAAGTGCATATTAGAAAAGACTGAGACATGAAGTAGCTTTCAGGATCCCCAGTTCTCAGTTCCTAGTTGCATTGACTATTTTTTAATGACTTTGATATTTATAACTATTTTGAAGATTTCTGCGCATCACTGATAGTAATAGGGCTAAACCCCTGTCTTGTCATGCTAACAGATATCTCCAAAGTCCTAAGGTGCCTCACACACTGTTCAAATCTAGCACAACCTTCCTCTCTGGAACTAAAGCTAGCACCCAGCTTGTGTGCTGTACTACAGCTATTCCAATAGAGCATTAACATATCCAAGCACAGAACTATTTAATGCCTCTTTAAAAAGAAGAATACAGCATGAAAACAGAGTAATGCAGAAACAACTGTCACTTTGGAGTCTGGGAGGTCTCACCTTAGGATCAAGTACAATTTCGTGGCAATTTTTAGGATTTTATGCACAAAATAAAGATGAAAACCTTTTCAGGGCAACCGCTGCAGCTCTACAGTCACACATCTTGAATGTGGCAGAGGGTCACAGTTCTGAAAAGACTGACTGAAGCCTCAGTGAAGTGCACTGAATTTACTTCCAAATTTACAACGCATTGTGTTTTGTTAATGCATCATTTTCTGGCTCTCACTGCTACTTTGTGTGAGCATCATGCTGATTAAGCCTAACAAAATGGATGTTAGCCTTTGGGATGACTTACGTCTGGTGCAAAAAGATGAGGGATCAACTAAATTTAGTTACTTCTTTCTAGTTACTAGTCGATACCATTGCAACTCAACCATGTGGAAAGGAGACAAACCTGTTAAAAAAGTCATATTAAAGGCCCATCAAATTAAATTGCAGCTATTCATAATATTAAACCCAGTATCTTCCTCTGTCTAAAGCCCCCATCATGAACGGCACCAGCTTCTACATAAACAGTTTACAGGTTTTAGTAATTAACAGAGTACAGCACTCTGTCACAGTCTTACAACTGCATGCAGGTAGAGACATTAGCTCCCCTTTTCATGTTAGAAGCAAATAGCAGTAGTGTTGGCAGTGGTGACAAAACCCCAGATTTAGGTCAGGGGATTAAATAGCTGTGAGGACAGATGTCAGTTCACCCCGGAGTTGTGCTTCTCTAAATTTGATGTTACAAAGACATGTGTCTAGCCCAGCTGACTCTAGATTATCATGGAAAAATTGCTTCCTAAGCAGTTTCTTTATGAGAAGGTAGTAGGAAGACAAACAGCAGCAATTTGTAGATTTATGTTCTTGACTCATGGATTTTGACACAAAGTTTGGGTTTTTTTGGGGAGGAGAGGTTTGCTGTTATTGAGCAAGTGCATGGTAATACAAGATGACAGGAACAGTATGTGTCCTTAACCAACTTGCTGTTTCAAAACTTTTCTGGGAAGCTGCTGACAAACCAATATGTATCACTTGTATGGCAAAGCTGCTGAAAATAACTCAGAGCATACATTCATTTACAGATCTGCACACCAGGTTCCTTAGCGAAAGCACCTGGCTCCAGGTTGCAGGCTTTCTCCAGGGGCAGTGAACATGGGGGCACCCTGGTGCAGCTCACAGCCCTGGGTTTGTCCTGTGCACGAGGTATGCTGATCCACCAGTCTGGCTCTTGAGTAATGCCACCACTGAAGTGGAAGATGCTGGAGAGGTATTATCTCAGTAACATAGGGAAGTTCTGGAGTTCATGGCTGCAGTCATAAAACACAAGATGCTGGAGAGGGACTCTTCATCAGGGAGTGCAGCAATAGAACAAGGGGTGATGGGTTCACACTGAAACAGGGGCAGTTCAGGTTAGATCTAAGGCAGAAGCTCTTCCCTGTGAGGGTGCTGAGGTGCTGGCACAGGGTGCCCAGAGAAGTTGTGGCTGCCCCATCCCTGGCAGTGTTCAAGGCCAGGTTGGACACAGGGGCTTGGAGCAACCTGCTCTGGTGTGAGGTGTCCCTGCCCATGGCAGGGGTTGGAACTGGATGAGCTTTAAGGTCCTTTCCAGCCCAAACCATTCTATGATTGTATGAACAGGGAACCCAGAAGAGATGTATGAATGAGAACTTTCAAACAGAAGAGCAGATGCTTTCTATGACTAATACTAACAAGAAGTAAAAAGTTCTCTTTTACTCAAGGCTTATTTATGAAAAACAGAACATGCTGACCTTCCCCCATACTGAAAGTTCTTATAGCTTTCCATAGTGAGCAAAACTATGTTTTAATTGGCTTTGGATGATATTGATGATTTATGGATGGCTGATCCTTACTGCCATTTGCAATATTCTGAAAAGAAAATGAATACAGTTGCAAAGCACTGTAGAGCTGTGGTAGGAGAGGTACAGCCCAGCAACACATCTTCCTTTGTAAGGGCTGAACCATGTACAATCTCTGACAAATCTCATTTATTTCTACAGTACAGGTCTTTGCGTTCAAAAGAATGTCAAGACAACCTTAAATTCTTTCTGGGAATAAAGATTTACTTGAATACACTTTTCAGTCAAGGATACTCTAAAGGAAGTCCTAAATGTGGTTATCAAACACACTTCAGATGGCCAGGGAAATGGAAAGTATTTTTCAGTCAATTTACTTGGAAAATCCAGGTCAGGCTTTACAAGTACCAAAGACTTCCAGAGAAAACCTAACTGCTTTTCACTTCCTACAGGAAATTTTTGCTTGTGACATGCTGACCAAAGAACATTTAGATGAAGTTATTAAATCCCCTCAAAGAGCAGTGTATGTACTAAGTAGGCAAATCATGATCACTGTTGTAAGCTCAGTAAAAGTGTCTGCCAAGTGTGCATCTGTAGTTAAAGGAATGTCAGCTACCAGGAGTAACTGGTTTCACAGACTCTTTCAATGGATGCAAGTGTGGAAGAAAGGGCTCTGTCATTGTGCTGATGGTCATCACCACTAGCTTGGTTGCACAAGCCTAAATACAGATAAGACCCCACAGCAATTTGGATTCAGGACCTTATCCAGAAAAAATGTAACCCAGCAGAAAAATAGTGTGTGAGTGTTGGAGAAATGAGTTTTCAGTAAGGAGCAGACTGTCCTTTTGGCCTACTATGGGCTACTGGGACTGGAAATTATGAAATGTCATAATTTGGGTGTCAGCCACTTTGTCAGCGTAAGAGGGCAGTATCACAAAATACTAGGATCTGCAAGGAATGAGATGTGGAACTATACAAGAAACATTAGAAATCCTTCAGGTAACTAAATGGTAGAACTTCATCTGGAACAGATAGTACCAGACTGATCATTCCTTATGAAAGTTGATGCTGCAGTAGAAGTGTTTGAGAGGGTGAAGGGCATTATTGACATGTGAAAAGCATTTCTAAACAGTAACACTTAAAAGACTGATACTTTGGTGGTTTGGGTTTTTTTTTCTCATTTAGAAAAGATCGGAGTTAGACAGACTTGAACACGATAACCATTAGTAGAAAAATGGTAGATGGTGAACTTCCAGTCTTCCTGCATCGTAATTCAAAAGCAAGGGGACAAAAAGGACAAGTGTTTCAAACCAATCAAAGGAAATACTTTTAACAAAGTGTCTAATTAAACTATGCAACTCTTTTCCACAGGAAGCAATCTGGGACAGCACTTTAAAAAGAGTCATAAAATGACTGGACATTTAGACCTATGACTACTACCACTGAATTGGAAGAGAGACCAAGTCTCATGCCTGCAGACATACATTTATACAACTGATATCCAAAAGAGCTCAATACTGTAAAAGCATCTATTCCTGAATCTGTCTCCAGGGCATTTCTTCCATCCTCCTGTGAATCTTTGGTTTCTCTTTATTGCCAAAGTGCAGTGTACTGATCTGTTTCAGTATCTTCATTTGATCTGGTATGTGAACTACATTGCCCCTTACAAAACAAGCAGCAGCATCTTGTGGCAGCCTCTGTCATGCATAGTTACAGAGAAAATTTAGGCAGGGGTGACCACAAGAGATCATTGAGACCAATGTCATGCTCAAAGCAAGGCAAGTTTTACAATTAGATTAAGTTGATCAGGGTCTTTTCCAGCTGAATTGTAAAAATCCTCAAGGCCAGAGGTTCTACAGCTGCTGAGCAACCTGGTCTAAGTGCTGAACCACCCTCATCAGGAAACTGTTGTTCACATACAATTGGAACTTCCCTCATCACATCTTTTCACTGTATCCCATTGTCCTTTTATTGTATACCTCTGAGAAGAGGCTGGCTCTGTTCTCTCTGACCCCTGCTAAATGGAGGGATACTGAAAGACAACAGTCAGTTCAGAAATGCACTTTGCCCTTCTAAGCTGTGGGGTTTAGGCATATTTTACTATTTAGACATATTTTAGTTCTTAGTATTTAGGCATATTTGCAGGTTACAAACTTCAAATTACAAAACAGTTTTAATGGGATGAAAAAGTAGGCCTACATTGTAGAATCATAGAGTCATAGAATGGTTTAGGGTTGGAAAGGACCTTAAAGCTCATCCAGTTCCAACCCCTGCCACGGGCAGGGACACCTCACACTACAGCAGGTTGCTCCTGTGTCCAACCTGGCCTTGAACACTGCCAGGGATGGGGCAGCCACAGCTCCCCTGGGCACCCTGTGCCAGCGCCTCAGCACCCTCACAGGGAAGAGCTTCTGCCTTAGATCTAACCTGAACTTCCCCTGTTTCAGTGTGAACCCATTACCCCTTGTTCTATCGCTGCAGTCCCTGAATATATCAGGAATGCCTCATACTTTGGCTTTCGAACCTGCCATCAGCACATTCTCCAAAAAGTTTATGCTTTTAATTCAAGCTAATTGTGACCTCTTTAAAATGCTGATGAAATTAAATAATCAAGAATTTAATTGATCAAGCATGTTATATGAAATGTAAGACGCTTCTTTGTACAATGTGTATGGGCCATAATCTCAGGGTCACCTAGACTGTACTACATTCCTGTATCTAGGTTGCAGACTCTGTCTCTTTCCATAAAAAAAGCAGGAACCTAAGGATGGCTCTTTCAAGACTCTTGAAAAACAGGCTTTCAAGGTGTCTGTGCTTGACAGTTCAACTGCAGGAAAGATATAACTAAAAAGAGGTATTCATCTTTTAAGTTCAGGCAGGGATGTTAATCTTGTGGTTCAGAACTGACAGTTTCTCTTTTCAAGTGTCATAGATTTGAGCTCTGATTACACACTCCAACAAAAGAAGCTCTTGTTTCACCTGTGCTTCATGCTGTTGGTCTATTGTTTCACATTCATTTTGACAAATCATACAAAATGCTACCTTGAAATTAAGTTTTTGTCAATAACAGTGGAAACAGTAACTTTGTAAACAATCTTTTATAAAATTCCATGTGATTTTTAAAATGTTTTACCAATTCAGTGAGGTCCCTGATATGTCTCTCCCATCTGTTTTATTACTACTCTTTACCTCAGTATTATGACTCTCCTCCTAAAAATGATCAGGTTTTCTCCCAATCCTAATTCTATAGAAAACACTTGACCAAATTTTTAATTGAATTATCCAATCTGTTTACATTTGTTTTAATCCAAATGTTAAATCTCTAAGTGAGATCTCTTCAGATGTGAAACGAATTGGTTACTCGCACCGTGTTAAATAGAGCAATTGGCAATAGCGATTGTATGCAGAATTACTCTTTGATAGATTTGGCTTGTTTAACCCTCCAGCTGTAATTTGTGGGATCACAGCCATATCCCTCCCTCCTGCTGCTGACAGCTTGTGGCAATGCTCTGCAGAGCCCTTGACACTCCATTCTCTTGTCCTGGGCATTATCTAGAGATCTAGATAGCTCAGTGTTGAAAGACTGCTCAAACTTTCTCCTGCTTTCTTCCACTTGGAAAAGGACACAAACCAAAAGAGTTTAAAACAGAGACTTCAAAAGCCCTCAGACATGCCCCCACAAGCTATTGAAATCAGCAACGCAGTACTTCATTCCTTGCAAACAAGGATGTGGTGCATGCTTTCAGTTTACAGAATTTCAAGTGACAAACAGAAAACAAATGAATCACACTTTCCTGAGTGCAGCGAAGCGAGTTCTGACCCAGGGAACTCCTGAGCTTCGGAATGGTTGAAGGTTGGGAGTGCATCTGGAGAACATGCTACAGTACTTGTTTTCACAGCATTGTTTAGGCATTAACTTTTACCTACTGCTGGTTAAACAACCTGATCTGACTGAGTGTGGTCATTCTTATGCCCTACCTCAAAGTGAGCCTCACTTCCCTTTCACTGCGCCTTTCTACAATTACCTTGTCACCTCCTTACCTGGGCCTGGTTCCAAAATCATGCGTGCACACTCAAAAAAGCTTGCAGAGAGCTTGGGGGTAAACCATCATTAATCTCACCCAGTATTTGCCTTTACTTCCCTATTCAAACAAGCCCAAGGCTACACAGATACCTCTCATATCTACTCACCTGTCTCTCAGCAAGAGGGCTTCTCTAACAAAAAACACAAAAGCTTTTGGGAGGTGGATTTTCACGTCCAAAGAACTGCATGTGTTGGAGGTTTGTACAGCTCCGTTCTATTGAATTAACAGTCAGCTAGACCCAGGAAAGAAAAAGGAAAAGCATGCAGGCTACTGGTGAAGTATGCTCTTCAACTGCTTGCTACTACAGATACTTGCTACAAAACAGGGAACAAGAAATTTAAGTTCTGTCACTAAGTGTATAGATATAATAAACAGGATATTTCAGTACATTCAGATGTTGAAAACAGAATTTTCAGCTTATGAATTTACCTTTAGATGTGGAAATGAATTTTACTCTATTCTGTACATTTCCTTAGCTGCTTCTATAGATATACTTTTCTGGCTGGCAGACAAAGCAAGTAGAGCACTAATTTGCCATGTTCTTGCTTCTCAGTTCAACTCCAACAACTTGGGAAGAGTGATTTATACCAACATCATCCCTATTTCTCAGAAGAATTAATGTTCTTCAACCAGCAGAAACAAAAACTTGCTACCTGCTCCATCTCTGCTCTGTTATCAACACCAAGGCCATTGTAACTATAGAACAAAACATGTAACAACAATGTGGTGCTGGAATTGCTTGTTTGTGAGAGGGAATTTTTCTTTCCCTTTTCCCAGAGCTTATCTACAAAGACTAGATTTTCTCCCTAAAATGTTTATTTCTGTGTGCTTTTCAGATACGAGTGCCTGGGCAAATTATTAAACAGAGAAGAATCATGCTGTCTTGCTTCACTCTGCTGTTAAGATGCTTGGATATATATGGAGGGACAAAATGTTCCTGAACTGTACTTAAACAGGGAATCAACAGAAACAATAGCAGATACATTTTGGATATAATTTTAAGAACTTAAGGCAGTCATGTTTTAACTCTATTTTACATGTATTCCTGATATCCATGAAACAATCAAATAAATACACTATTTCTGATGAGATTTTGTTGCTTGGGCCCATTAGCTTAAGCAACAAAATGAGGAGGCTAACAAAAGGAGGTCAATATACAAAGCCAGTAAATACCCCAACCACATTTCCTGAAGTTCTCTCTTCAGCTGCATGTTAGAAGTAGTGCTAAAGGATACAGATCAGGCTTTTTCCATGCACATCAAGCAAATAGCAGTAAAAGACAGTTTAATCTACTAGGTTTGACTAGCCAAAGCAGTCTCTGTGGCTCAACTGCTGCAGTGTCTCCAAGTTCCACCACTGTTAAAACTGATAGTCTCCATCACTGTAAGACCCTGAGCCCTTACAATATCTGAAAGAACAACAGTCTAAAATACCTGGGAGTGTTCAAGACATGACATCTGTGTTGGGAACATAAATTCACTCAACATCTATGGCACCATCTCTTTCAACTAGGGAGAGCAGATATCCCATATCTGCCTTTCACTTAAAAGAAAGGTGGAATATATAAGAGAAAAAATAACAGCGAGTTTTTGACAATTAAGCACAGCAAGAGCAGTAAAGTCATTCCGCTTCCCTGATACGCTCCTTTCTGATCCAGTTAATGCATACAAGTATAATTTTCATTATTGCAATGAAAAAAGAAGTCATTCTTGACTACTTCAAGTCACATAAGCACAGAATACCTGACCCTCTGTCGCATCTGTTTATAAAATACATATTTGTCTCTTTTTGATACAAATCTTCAGGCACAAATCTTAGGCTTTAAATGTCTAAATCTCTTCTCATTGCAAAAAACAAAAAGATGCCTGTGTAAGTGTAAATTTTCAACCTGCCAAAAAACCTGTTCCCCTTTTTTCATAGAATCACCACAGGAACCAAGAACACAGTAAGTGAGGGGAACTTCACACCCTGTATCTCTTAGCCACACATTCGGCCATTCTGTGTACTCCTCAGATGGGAAGGGCAGAGGGACAGAGAGGGGATTCCCTGCTTTGGTACCTGGTGGCTACCCAGACACTTAGAACAATGCATTTTAACTGCTAAGGTGCCCGGTATCTAGCAGCAAAGCACATCACCCTTTTTACCAGCATTGCCTTATTTCTGTTAGCCTTACTTGCCTCACTTTGGGGCAGGATATAGAAGATGTGGACCCCAAAAGACTGCAAGGAACAATAGAGGGGGTTTCATTGACATAACTGCTTCTCTCATTTCATTTCAAAGGTGAAGTGGCCTTCAATCTGAATACAGAGAAGTGTCAAGTACTCTTGTCAGTTCTTGACTGGTGAGCTGGATGGTCTGGGCAAAATTGAGACTGGTCGGTATGACAAGTTTTAAATAATGGGAAAACTGAGCCAGGGATTTAAATACATATATTTGATAACTATAATTATTTTGTCACTAAAATAATTAGTTCCAGTTTTAAGGAACGCAGGCATTATCAGACAAATTAGATCCAAGGTATTTGAACTCATGAGATACTTGACTTTGTATCACATAGCTTTTTGTTTCAAAAACATGTACCAAGAACAGCTCTGAGGAACTGCATCCTACAAAGCACTGAGAAACCATAATGGGAATAAGGGACTTACTTATTCTTTATTACCTGCAGTGAATCTCTGAAAGACAAAAAAAGATGGCAAACACAAAAAAGGCTGTTTATGGAAGCAGAGTGGCAGAAAGGAGGGGTAAAGAAGTAGAATCCCCTCTGGCACTGGCAGAAACAGCACTGGAGGACCATGTACTGATCTTTTGCCACATGTTAAAGGGTACATCAGGCTGCTGGAAGGGATTTAGAAAAGGCCACAAGGATTATTTATTGTCTAGAAAACGCCTTATAGAGAAAAGTAGGTTTGCAACAGCTCAGTCTGTTTAGTTTAGCAAAGAAGTAAGAGATGGCTTGATTACAGTAGGCAATTATCTTGTGGAGAGAAAGGTGTGAAAGGCCAGACAGATCAGCCTAGAAAGCAGGCCATATATATACAACAGAAAGGGCACAGCTAATCACCAATTACAATAGTATATTCTCCAGTTGTGAGCAATGTTCAGTCAAAATCCAATTCTTTACAGGGGGACACAGTCTGCTCAGAGAAGTTACCTGGTCCAGCAGCAGGTTATGAGGCTGAAAGACATGCTGCAGCCGGAGACAACAGAACATCACCAGGGCAGTGCTGGAGTCACCATCCCTGCAAGTGTTCACACACAGTGTAGAGGAGGCCTCAGTGCCATGGGTTAGTGGTGGCCTTGGCCGTGCTGGGGTAAGGGTTTGGACTGGATGAGCTTAAAGGGCTTTTCGAAGTTGATTCAGTGATTATATCATTTGGCCTTAAACATTATGACCAGACCCTGATAGTCCCTGAAGCCAGGGGAAGCCTGCTCCTGCAAACACAGGGCCTCCAGGAGGTAATAGCACCTCTGTCACTGGATATATTAATTGTTCCCTTCGGTACACCTACAAAATAATCTGCAAGCACGCTTGAGGAAGTTTATAAAACTTGCTTTCTTCTGTTTAAGCTTTACATTTGAAGGAAGAGCACACCCTGCACTACCTGTGGGGAGGGAGATTTTGCCATCATCTTTTAAAACCCAGCTTCATTTCAGCATTAGCAGTTAGCATTAGCATTGTATTGCTGGGATAACCCCCTGCTCTGAGGACACCAGGGCAACTGGTGTGCCTGAGCACAGGCCCAGGCAAGGGGAAAACCAACTCTGTAACCTGGGAGGGGACTCTGTAAAGAAAACCTGAGTAGACCTGCCATAGCCCTTTGCTCTATAGACTACTTTCTTGGTTATAAGGACAGGCTCCATGGCAGGGACTCTTACCTAGACTTCCAGGTGGCTCTGACACCTTCTGAAAGCACTTGCTGGGTTGGAGCTGCTGTTGATGCCTTTTTTCCAGGGCAGAGGTTCTGCATTTGCTTGATGAGAAATAGTGCAAGCAGAAACAATTTTCCTTCTGTAATGTTCAATAAAAAGAGAAGTTATTTGATTGTGAACTTCTAACCTCCACCAGCTGTAGCTTCTCCCCAAATCATTAAGTGCTGAGGAAAGCACCGAGAATCAGGCAGGAGGGCAGGAGATCCCCTGGCAAGGTCCTTCTTTGTGATCTCACTGAGAGGAAGCTTGCTGCCCACCCAACAGCAGCCTCTCCTAAAATGAGCACTACAAGTTCTATCTATTAACTTAGTGCTCTTGAGTTAAAGGAAAAGGCCCTGTGGAAATCACAGGTCAACTCCTATTGACTTAAAATTTTGACTTCATGCCTAATGGAGAACCTGAGAGGGCAGATAAGCCATATAGGCATTATGGTCTGTATCTGTATCACAGATCCTGGTGAAACCAACAGTCAACAGTATACCAGGAACCTGTGGAGGAATTTCCGGGGCAGACTATACAGGCACCTAAGTACTGTTGCAAGATGACTCCTCTTTCACTCTCATTCATCCTTCCTGTTTTTATTTCTTCTAAGGGACAACAGGAGAAGGAAAAGCAGCACAGAAACTGCTAAGCCCCTTCTCAAATAGACCTGGCTCAAGACTGCTCAGAAAAGGCCAAAAAGGTGAGACATTGCTTACTGGATCACGCCAGTGATCCAGCTACTACAGCACGTCTCCGGTAGTGACACTACTGTAGGAGAGCATGTAAACCTGGCCACTTTCTTACCATACATTCCCTGAGGATGGCTCAGCGCCATCAGGTCAGGGTTGTTATACCATCCTTTTATTGCCTGTTCCTTCTAGTGTTTGTTTACGGACTTCTAGTCCATTATTTTTTTCATTCCTCTTTTGAACCAGTTGATACTGTTGTCCTCCACAACCCTCTGCAGCAGCTTCTAGTAGTTCACCACTTACTGTGTAAAGAAGCACTCCCTATTGTTCTTCTTAAGCTTCTCTCCCCTTACCTTGTGTGCCCTGCAGTTATGGCATTGCATGATTTAGCAAACAGCAGCTCTGCATCTGTTGTTTGCTATCAGCTGCTCTCACGATTTGGAAAACGTCAGTTACAAACCCTCCTCCAAAATTCTTTCTCCAAACTGGAAAGTCACTGACATTTCCAATTTTCCTGTTTTCCACTCCTCTTTCTCTGTATCATTTTTAACCATTCTTCTTGCCCTACACATACCACAGCTATGCCCAGTAGGCAAAATGTGAGTGCACCAAAGTTTTGCACAATGGGAAAATCATGCTTTGTGGTTTGTTCACAAGATAGCACTGAGACAGGCCTGACATCATTCTGAATAAATATGCCTGGCACCACCTCCAAGAAATGTATGTCATGGGCCTGTCAAAGCTCTCCTCCTCCTCTGTCTTCAATCTTTTCTTCACCCTCCTACTGCATGCTTACATTCCTCCAAGCCAAGTCCACACTGCTCTCCCATTTTTCTGATACACCTTCACTTTCCAAGCCTCCCTTTGCAACAGAAGATAAGCACAGGAGACCCTGTATGCACTAATCTACTGTGCACAATACACTGCTGAGCATGCTGTGAAAACCACATGGAAGATCTGCACCATTGCCTCACATTGCAGCAAGCAACCACGAGACATCTGTCTGTAGTGCTGCTGCGGGCAATTGCCACCTTTTGTATGATGTAAAGAAACTCTTTTCACATATCCCTGCTTGACCTCATGTGTGCAGTTTGGCAGAGCCAAACCCACCTTCCTGTGCCTGACACAGTGGCTGAGACTAGACACACTTCAACATCCCAGCCACAGCACCTGCACCTCCCACAGCCCTGCCTTCAGTGCTGAACATCACCAACCAGAGGAGTCAAAAGCAACACTGCCAGCCAGGAGACAGGATGTAAGGGAGAATGCTATCAAATCCACAGCTCCTTCCCCCTCATCTTTGCCTCTACATGGAAAGACCACCGTTTTCTTCGCGATTAGCACACTGGAGAGAACGTACAGTGAATAAAAAGCACTAATCAGGGTGAAGCATGTAGGCACCAGCTGTCTATTAAAAGTAAAATTGTCAGGCAAGCGATTTAGTTTTCCACAGTGAGCAGCTGGGGAGGGGCATTCCTTCAGGAAACAACCACCACTGCTGAGGCTGCATTGATTTTGCCTCTCTCTTTTCTTATACCTTTAGGTCACTGCCTGCCTTGCTTGTGCCTTTACAACTAAGGCTTCCATGACACTTGAATTTCCTGTTGCTAAGGATAATGGTTTTCACTGGTTCCTTCCATATTCCATATGTTCCATACAGGAATGTGTATTCTGACAGAATCACTAGGCAGATTTAGTCAAAGAAACCTACTGGTGGTTTTATTTCACAGTAGAAATTTACAAAGCATACTTATCAGCAGCTGAATCTACATGAAGGGTCTCACCTAGCTCCTCATGACGTAACAGAATTCTGACATTGATTTGGGAATGATTAAACCCTACCAAAATATTTCAGCTGTCCTAAAACTAACCAGGCTATAACCCCAGGCACTTTCTGAGTAACATGAAAAATAAAATGTTTCACACATGAGCCTTGAGAGCTTAAATTCATTTAAAGGATCAGAAAGGCATAGCCCAGCGACTGTGGAATTTCATTGAAGGGACAGGGTTTAGGGCAATATGAGTGAAAAGAGAACATTTTCCAAACATTACTATAAGCAGACAAGTTGTATTAAAAACATTTGCTCTGTAGGTAATACAAAATAAAATATCACCTGATCAGCTCAAGTAATGCTGATTTATATCTTTGACTTAACATTTCCCTGTACAGTTGCAGTAAGACTGCAATTTTACAAAGTGATAGTCAGTTGAACATATTTACAACACAAATGATACACTATGTACAAACCTAGTTCTCCAAGGAACTCTATATTCAGCATGCTTCAACACAGAAGTGATTTACCCACTTCTAG